CCCAAAACATATTTCATTCCGTATATTTTTTTACCTCATTTTCCCTTTTTTAGCTAATCAATTAGCTAATTATCTTAATCATTCCATAACTCCCCAAATAATTTCTTTCAAAATATGTTAATTAGTCAATAAATAGATTTATTACCTAATTAATCTATTGATGGCTAATTAACCATAATTTACACCCAAAAAATACCTAAATGGCCGGTCCCTATTTGCCTAATACGGCCGGCCATATCCCTATATATAGCTCACCATTCTCTTCCAAAAATGACTTCGAACTCTTGCTAAAATTCTTTAGAATTCTCAAACACTTTTTCTCTCTAAATTCTAACTTTGGCATTGGAGGTTCTTCGGCCAAAGCCCCCCCCATTCATCGTGGGCGCATGAGGGTCTTGGCCTTGACCTAAGGTGTTAATTGTTTTGTAGATGCAATTTTGTCCAAGATCAAGGAGGAAGAAATTTGGATCCACAAATGCTTCACTAAATTAATCCAACTTAGTCTAGTCTAAGCCAGTCTAGCTTAGCCTTTGAGCTTAGCCCAATCCGAGATAGTCCAGAACAAACGCACCCTTAAGGGATATGAAGTCTCATTCGAAATTTTAGACAAAAGTACTATTGAGATATTGAGCCTTTATGTATCTCGTACACATTCTTTCTCTCTAATTTTGTTCTTTAATTCTTCTTCTACTTCCTCCTGCTTTGATGCATTTAATATGGTGTATTCGGCCCTAGAAACTATGTAATTTCATACCATAGAAGATGCGATGATTTCATCTCCTGATGAGCAATCTCCTTCTCTTACCCTCAACCTCAGGCCCCATGGTCAATCCAACCCCCCTTTTCGCCCTCTTAGCCAAAACCCCAAAGCAGGTGTTCCTAATCACCCCAATCATCTTCCTTATACTAAACTTTATGCACCCCCTCCCATTCCTTCATCGGCTCCACTTGCACCCGCTCCCTCCACCTCTTTGCTTGCTTTGAGAAATCCTAGTTCCCATTTGGGTAATCTTCAATATAGCTCTCGACTTGTGAATGGGCATATTGTGAATGGGATCTTTCTTCACCAAGAAGCTGCACTGGACTGCCCATCTAGTCATCAAACTCAAGATCTGGGCTTGGGGGGAAACGGTGGTCTACCGTGTTCTAACGGAATGGTCTCCCCTGATGGGGTCCACCCACAAGATATCTGTTCTGACTCTGGTTTGAATTTGCACCCCTTCCCAAATGTGGGTCCCTATATCCTGACTAAGTCGCCCACCATTTCCCATCTATTGCAAAAGGTGCAGAGCTATCCTCCTTTACAAAAGGATAATTCCCATTCCCATGATGGTTTCTGTACCTCGGTCTCGAGGCCTGAAAATCCCATTTTTCAAGAGCCTGGTCTTGTCACTAGTCTGATTGCGACTCCTCATGTCTTGGTGGTGAGTCCTAAAGGTAGGTATTCGGATGCCATTTGTGGTAACGGAACTCGTCTAACTGGGCCTCTCAACCTCCATTACTGTCAACCAAAAGTTGTGGGCAATAGGAAAGTGGTCTGCCCTCCCATCACTGTTGCGGCTGAAGCGGCGAAAGAATGGCGTCATTGTCTTGTTGGGTATTTTATTGATAAGAAACTCCCATTCTCTGCTGTTTGCATTTTAGCTAAAAAGTTGTGGGCAAACAAGGGTCTAGTGGATGTTCTTGCCAAAGATAGTGGCTTCTTTTTCTTCAAATTTAGGGATGATTCAAGTTGTGTTAGTGTGCTTGAATCTGGTCCCTGGCACCTTTCAGGGAGAATGTTGGTTATTACTCGGTGGAGACTTGGGATGGTGCTATCCAAGGCCTCACATGTTAAAGTCCCTATTTGGGTTAAGTTTTTCAATGTTCCTCTTGAACACTGGAATCATGAAGGTTTTTGTCATATTGCAAGTGCTGTGGGAAAACCCCTCCATGTGGATTCTCTCACTGAATCGAAGAAGCGAATCTCTTTCATGAGAATTTGTGTGGAAGTTGATGCCTCTGTGCCTCTTATTGACTCATTTGATCTTGTGGTCCAACCTGAGGAGGAAGGGGAAATTCCCGTTTCTGTGGAAGTTAATGTTGAGTACCAATGTAGACCTCGTTTATGTCTTCATTGTAAAACTTTTGGCCATTATGAATCTGCTTGCCCCCACACGCCTAAACTTGCCACATCTGAAACACCCACCAAACCCACCTCAGTAATTCCTCCACCACTTCCCAAAGAACCTCATCAGCTTCCTGATTGCTCTAATACTTTTAAAACTCCTAAAAAGAAAGGGCATAACAAAGGGATGGTTATTTTTCCTACCACTACCTCTGGTACTCAACCACAACTGCTCCCTTCTAGCCCCAAGGTGATTTCTCTCCCTTCTGAGGATGACATGGCGGTGTCGAACTCTTTTGAGGCTCTTGATCGCCTTGAGATTACCTCTGACTCTGAAATTCAGGCTACTGCTTCTCCTGATACGTCGAGATGGCTGAGTCGTATCTTGGGTAGGAATGTTGATGCTCTCCCTTCCAAGGGGCTTCGCCAAAAGAAGAAAAAGAAAAAGAACAGCAAGAGCAAAAATGCACCTATTAAAGTTGTTGGTAAGGGTATTAGTGCCCAAGCCTCGCCTCCGTCAGACCGAAATGATTAATCTAGCTTGTTGGAATGTTAGGGGGCTTAACGGGCTCCCTAAGTAACTGGAGGTTCGTAAGTTCATTGATACAAATAAACTTTGTCTGGTTGGCCTCATCGAGACTAGGGTCCATGTGAATAATTTTGATGCTGTTACTTTGTCTGTCTTTCGTAATTGGAAGGTCCTCAACAATTACAATTGTCATGTTAATGGCCGGTTATGGGTGGGTTGGAATCCTACTATGCTTCATGTTTCCCTCTTGGCTGAGACGGATCAAGTTATTCATTGTCAGATTCAAGTTATTGATACCGGCCATAATTTCTTTGCCACTTTTGTTTACGGCTCTAATGACGACACTCTCCGTAGGTCTCTTTGGGCAAACCTTTGCTCCTTTGGGTACTCCATTGGGGATAGTCCTTGGATTAGTCTTGGTGACTTTAATGTTGTTCGGTTCACTGGTGAAATTGATGGGGGCTTAAATATTAGGTCTAATGCTGTCATTGAGTTTGGTGAATGTTTACTTGATGTTGGGCTTGACGATTTGAGATACTATGGTCAGCTCCTTACTTGGTGTAATAGGCAGTTTAATGGCATGGTTATCCACCGCAAATTGGATGGTGTCCTTGTAAACAGTGCTTGGTTATCTTTATACCCCTGCAGCTCCGCCATGTTTCTTCCTCCTGGTGCCTCTGATCACTGCCCTGGGGTGGTCTTTGTGGGTACCTCCCAAACTCATAGAAAGTCTCCTTTTAAATTCTTCAATTTCTATGCTGATCATGAGAATTTTCTACATATTGTTGCCCATGCTTTTAACACTCCTATACAAGGTTGTCATCAATTCCAGGTTGCTAAAAAGCTTAAGCTTGTTAAAGTTGAGTTGAAAAGGCTCAATTGTGACCCTTCCCATCATGCTTCCTTTGCGGTTAAGAATGCTAAGATTTCCCTTGATAATTGCCAAGAAAATTTAGCTTCTACGCCCACCAACTTGTCTTTGGTTGATCTAGAGCAAAGCTTATTGAAGAACTACTCTGATTGCCTTGTGAGGGAGGAGAGCTTTGTCAAGCAAAAATCTCATGTTCATTGGATGGCCTGTGGCGATAGGAACACTGCTTTCTTTTACAATTCTATTAAGAAACGTGCTAATCGGAACCGTATTGCCTCTATTTGCAGAAGTGATGGGTCTGTTACATCTGTTTTGCTAATAAAATCAAAGTTGTCCTTCCTAACATTATTAGTGATGCTCAGTCTGCCTTTGTTGGTGGACGGCGTATTGGGGATAATATTTTGCTTGTACAGGAGCTTTTTCGAGGTTATCATCTGAACAATGGTACTCCTAGGTGTGCAATCAAGGTGGATATCCGTAAAGCCTATGACACTTTGGATTGGAATTTTTTGCTTGGAGTGCTTTCAGCTTTTAATTTTCATCCGAGGTTTGTTCAATGGATTCGGTGTTGTATATCTAGCCCTTATTTCTCTGTGGCTGTTAACGGTGAGTTAGTCGGCTTTTTTCCCGAGAAACGTGGTCTTAGGCAAGGAGATCCCCTCTCTCCTTACCTCTTCGTTATTGCCATGGAGATTTTTTCCTTAACGATGCATGCTAGAGTCGCTGCTTCCCCTTGTTTTCGTTTTCACTGGAGATGTGACAATGTTAGGCTTAGTCATTTGGCTTTTGCTGATGATTTGCTGCTTTTTTGCCATGGTGACTCTTTATCTGCAAAGGTTATCAAAGAGGCTCTAGATTATTTTTCTATCCTTTCTGGTTTATTTCCTAATGCCTGTAAGAGTAACCTTTTCTTTTCTGGGGTCAAAACTAGAGAGAAAATGAGAGTTGTATAGTGCTTTGGGTTTCAAGAAGGGTCTCTTCCCTTCAAGTATCTTGGAGTTCCTTTGATCACTTCGAAATTGAATTATGCGGATTGTGTGCCTTTACTTGAGAAAGTCGATAATCGTATTCGTAGTTGGGAGCATAAAACTCTATCTTTTGCTGGGCGTTTACAATTGGTGATCTCAATTTTAAGTAGCCTCCAAGTCTATTGGGCTTCTCACATTTTCCTTTCAAAAAAGATTACAAAAGACATCGAGCAAATGTTTCGAAGGTTTCTTTGGTCTGGTAAGGTATCAGGCTCTTATTTTGCTAAAGTTTCTTGGAGGGAGGTCTGTTGCCCTAAAGATGAAGGGGGTTTGGGGATTAAAAATCTCCACTCTTGGAATTTATCTCTTATGGCTCGCCATATTTGGATTTTGGTTTGTGGTGGGAACAGGGAAACAGGTGGGAATTTGTGGTCTAAGTGGGTTAAAGCCTATTTTCTTGAAGACAAGAGTTTTTGGAGTCTCACTGTGCCTTCTATTTGCTCCTGGAATTGGAGAAAACTTTTGAAGCTCCGTGAGCTAATTAAGCCTTTTATTCATGTCTTAGTCGGGGGTGGGTCTTCAACTTTTTTGTGGTATGATAATTGGCATCCTCATGGCCCTCTCTTAGACGTTTGGGGTAATGAGGTAGTGTTGGCTTCTGGTCTCCACTTAAATACTAAACTTTCCTCTATGATTATGGCCTCGGAGTGGTGTTGGCCATTTACTACTAACCCGGCTTTCCGTTCCATTCAATCAGATTCCCAAAGTATTGTGCCTTCTTCTCAAAGTTTGGATTCCTCACTTTGGGCCCCTAGCAACACTGGTATTTTCTCTTTGGCTTCTATATGGAACTGTATTCTTTCTGTGGCTCCGAAAATTCCTTGGGATCATTTGGTGTGGCATAATGCTTCTATTCCGCGTGCGAGTTTTGTGTTGTGGTTAGCCATAAAAAATAAGCTAACTACGCTTGATCGTATTGGTCAGTTTTCCTCTCGTGCCAACCTCAACTGTGTGCTTTGCGACTCTGACTTGGAATCTCATTCCCACCTCTTCTTTGATTGTCCCTTTACTGAAGGTCTATGGCAACATGTGTTGATGAGGTGTGGGGTTCCTTGGCTTCATCCTCCATGGCCTTCTTTTGTGGACTCTGTGGCAACCCATTGGCGGGGGAAATCCCTTCCCGTGGTGGTTAAAAAGCTCTCTCTTGCAGTCACTGTCTATTGCATTTGGTGTGAACGGAATAACCGCATGTTCAACAATTGTAGGAAAACCTCTGCTGCTCTTCTTCAGTCAATCACTAATATGATCTGGTGTCGGCTGTGTACCTTACATGTTAAGCCCTCAACCATTAACATGATGATCCTCTATAATTGGAATGTTGCTGCTCATTAGGTTCTAGGCTTTCCCGTCGTCTTCCCCTGTGTGGGTTAGGCTTTGTTTTGGGGTTGTTTCCCTTTTGTTTTTGGTACTGTGAGAGTTTCTCTCTGCTTGTTCCTTGTTCTCTTTGGGCTTTGCCGTGTTAATATATATCTTTATTTAACAAAAAAAAAAAAAAAAACTATGTAATTTCATTCACTAGCACATAATGCCAAGTGCCAACATGACGCGCAAGGGACCACCTGTCAAAATATTGATTCCACCTGCCTTCGACAACAATAAATTTCTTGTTGAAGACAAGTGTGTCACGGGCTCTATTATTTTAAATAGTCTACCTTTTTTAAGTGGATGAGAGGCATGACACAAGATGTAGAAATTCAAATTAAATCATGCAATAAAAGATTTCAACAATAAAGCGACAGGGTATCCAAATTAAATATAAATCGAACAGGAATTCAAGAAGACAAATACAATATGAATGCAAAGAATAACCTAAACTTGCTAAGCGACAAAATTTGCTTCTCCACAAAATTCATGGACTCAAAGTTATGAGCAAGGTTTAGAATACCATTAATGTGATCAATAAGAATTTTTAAGTCACTCCAACAAAAATCTTTTTATATTGCGCCCTGATAGCTTGCGTAAGATCAAGACGCAGTGTTATAGCTTCTGCCAAGAGCACATTAAAAGGACAAAGTGGCTTATCTCTAGCAATCAAAGCTCACCATTTTGAGATCGAATAATGAAACCTGCAGCTGCAGAATCATTCAGAAAAGAACCATGAAATTAAGTTTCACATGATTATGTGTAGGGGGATAAGATTCCAACATATAAAAGTGGAAAAATTAGAACAAACAGTGTTTACAGAAGTATTTAAGAAATTGGTGGTGATGAGCTTAAACTCTTAACTCTTTCCAGAATTTGGTGACAATCCAAATAATTTTAACAAGATGGAGGGGTAATTTTTGAACAACCATTGTCTTTTTATTATTTTTCAATAAGTGATAATTAATAAGAACATAACAAGCACAAGACAATGTTAATGTTAAATAAGTATAAATGTTTGAGTGATCAATTTTTTATCTTTTACAGGTATTTAAGATGTCGACTTTATTCCAACCCCGGTGTTTTTAAACACATCCTATATATGCCAAAACATCTTCCACCTTAATTAATTCTTCATATTATATATTGAAGGCACTATAAGAAAAATATACCACTTATAAAATCATTTTCCAGACCTATATTCCACACGGCACGTCCTATGTTCGATTTCTAGTACTAGTGAACCACACGATGGTAGTCACCGGAAGGTTGAAATACCTTTGTGAATCTTTTCAGATTCCGAAAAAATGAACTACCATGACAAAGCCACTGACTAATCATTTTTAAAATAAAAAAAAATAAAAAATCATCTCTTGCAAAGACCAACGTTAAGAAAGATTATATCTGTCACAATTTTGATAATAAGAAAAATCAAGACAAGATATTTTAGAGGAATGCAACGATCAGTCATGACTCATGACACAACTGATGCCACAAAAAATAAAGGTTACTCGAAGACTTGACTTTTCGTTGTTAACTTCTTACATATAAACGTGATACTAATACTATCGAAGACAAAATAAGAAACAAATGAATTGTACATGATAATGATACCATTTATAAAGATAAAGAATTGATGTAGCATATAGACACCTAATCCACATTTTTAATTGATATAACATAATTTCCATTGACCATAGAGAGATCAAATCAACTCCATGGCTATGTTTCGATGTGGGTTTTCTAGTTTCGAGGGATTTACTGATGTCAAGTTATTAAGGAATGAACTACAAAATGTCAAATGGAAGGGACTAGAAAAACTCTCCATAAGCATTACATAGGCATGGGAGAGATTTGCTAATTCCTTCTTTGGGAGGTGTCGTCTACAAATCCCTCTCATGTGCCTTTACAATGTTCATGGAGAACTTTTCTAACCCCTCTGTATAACATTTTATAATTCATTATTTCATAACTTGGCATCAATCTCTTGGAACGTGAAAAACCCCCATCCAAACATAGCCTATATAGTTTTCATCAAACCTTGCCGTTTGTTGTTCGAGTCGATGCACTTAATCCTCTTAACATATAAGTTCTTTATGGAAATAAACATGATCAAATATGAGTGCATTAGAGACTAAAAAATATGTGTGAAAATCATCTCCCTTATTTAATTACTACCAGTTTCAAGAACATCAAAAGATCAGTGTGTAAGATTTACTTTATGGATGACCAACACTCTACATAGAATTGGGATCCCTTCCGGTGCTCTGTGTCTGAAGTTGACGAACTCAGAGATCTAGACCATTCATTTTAATCATGCAACCCCAATTAGCTTATCACACTGGCCACCTCACACAAACGAAGGGTGCAGATCTCTCTCTTAAACCCCTCAAATATTTCTCTCTTCAATGGCTCGAATCTCTGGATCCTTGAGTTCCAAACACAGAGATCTGAAAAGGATCTCAATTCCAATAGACACAGACAATAGTAATCAGTAAACAACATGTCTAAGTGTCTGTATTTTAGTTAAGGTTAATTCCAAATACTGTAGCTTCATAATGCTTCACATAGCAGGTCTAGGGGTGGGCAAACAGGTACTAGACCTGCGGCGCGGAGCAGGTCTGAAAATTGTAAAACACAAACAGGGTGGGGTGGGGCGAGTTCAACAAATTAATGGGGCTAGACGGGTCCAAAAGTCCCAAGAAACAGGGCCCTGGCTAGACCCATTTCTCCCATTAATCTCTCTTTTTTCTTGTCTTCTCTCCTCGCGTGTTTGCTGTCTCCTTCTGGTTTTTTTTTTCTGATTAATTTTTCTTTTAATGGTTTTCTCATCTCTCTCCTTCTATCTTGATTTTCTCACTTTTTTCTTTCTAGGTGTTGTGCTCTCTCATTTCTCTCCGCTTTTGTCCTTTTCTCTACTTATGCTCTTGGTTTTTTTTATTTTTTTTGGTTCGGTGAAGAAAAAAATTCAAGGGTTTGGGTTGAAGGCCAGTGATAAAGATCAGAATTTAGGGTATCTAATTTGTTGAGTTATTTGATTTCTGCTTGAGACCAACAACAAAATGACTGTGTTGAAAATCTGAGAGTGTGGTTGCCCTGGTTTTGAGCAAGAATTGAAATTAATATTTTGTCTTCTCCTTCCCATCTCGATCTTTCAACATCCCAGAACCAATTTTTCTGTTGCGAGGGAGAGCAGGCAACAAGACGAAGACAAGATGGAGTTGGAGAGCATCTGTAACATAATCACAAAGTGAACCTGGGAGCTGCTGGCGACGGTGCCTGTAACATCCCACATTGCCTAGGGGAGTGGATCCTCTATGCCTTATATGTATATTCCCATCTCTTCCTAGCACGAGGCCTTTTGGGAGCTCATTATCTTCAGGTTCCATCGGAACTTTGAAGTTAAGTGAGTTCGCACGAAAGCAATCCCATGATGGGTGACCCATTGGGAAGTTCTCATGTGAGTTCCCAGAAAAAAAAAAACCATGAGGGTGTGGTCAAGGCCCAAAGAGGACAATATTGTGCTATGGCGAAGTCGAGCCTGGGATATGGTGGAGGCCTGAGTTGGGATGTGACAATTTGGTATCATAGCTAATCTCTGGTCAAACGTGTGCTAACGAGGACGAGGGCTCCTAAGAGGGGTGGATTGTAACATCCCACATCGCCTAGGGGAGTGGATCCTTTATGTCTTATATGTATATTCTCATATCTTCCTAGCACGAGGCCTTTTGGGAGCTCACTGGCTTTTGGTTCCATCGAAACTCCGAAGTTAAGTGAGTTCGAGCAAGAGCAATCTCATCATGGGTGACCTACTTGGAAGTTCCCATATTCAAAATCGTGAAGGCGTGGTCGGGGCCCAAAACGGACAATATCGTGCTACGGCAGAGTCGAGCTTGGGATGTGGTAGGGGCCCGAGCCGGGATGTGACAGTGCCAGCTAGTTGATGGTGATGCTCTTCCAGTGCCAGCGGCCTAGGTCCCAAGATCAACGAGGTCGACTAAGTTTTAGCTGCAAGGGTTTTTATTGGGATTATTTAGCTGTTTTGTGAACTTGAAATTTTATGTTTTATCTGGGACTTGAAATTATAGATCAATCATCAATGCTTTTTTTCTTCTTTAATTTTTCTCTTTGCATAACCTTTTGGTGGTCGATGAGAAGGAAGAGGAAATCACAGGGGAATTGATTGAAATTGCTTAGATTAAAAAACCCTAAGGTATTCCCTTTCTTTTATTATTTGAATTCATAGCTGATGAGAAGGCAAATTGGATTTGTGGGTTTGTATGAAAAAGTTTTGTGAAAACCCTAATCTAATCCCTAATTTGCCTTGAGAGTGCAGATCTTGCGTGGTGGTTTTGATGGAGCGAAGAGGATGACGAAGACCAGACTACGTGAGTGAAGATTTGGACCTGTGGGGACCTGTAGGATCCGGCCCATTTCAAAAGGGCCGGGTTAGGTCCGGATCCCATTTTGAAAAATCCAAAACCCACCCCATCCTGCCCAGTTTGTAAATAAAACGGGTCCGGTCCAGTTCCTTCAATTTTAGGCCCGGCCTAGCCCGTGCCCACCCTAAGCAGGTCCATCGCCAAACATTCTTTCTTGAGGATTTTCTCTTGAAAGAGTTTGCTAAGTGTAATTTCATTCTTATTGAGTGACTGCCTATTTTTATATAAGAAAAAGCATATATTTGTGGCAACTCTTTGATTGATATGCTTTTGAGCTAGGGAGCCATATATGCAGGATTCTTGAGTGGTCAATTCCGATCTATCTGACCGTCAAATGGTTATTGTATTAAATACATATATTTACATGAATTATGTATGACCGTTAGAAGATAATAATTACATCACATAAATGTAAGTATTATAGCTAATCTCATCTCATTAATCACTTTTAATAATAAACACTACATGTAAAATAGTAACAATCCAAAGTTAATAGTGGACGAGATAGACTTTCAATATTTCTACTCATTTTACCTG